TGCACATACACATGATAACATCACCACAATCAAGGCAACCCAGGTAACAAACACATCCATATCCTCTAATTCCTTGCATATTTGTGTTTATAGTTTTCTGGCAGTGAGCACACTTAAGTCAAGATCTATCTTTTAACAAATTTTTCAGTGCACAATATTACAATGCTAAAATTAGACACTGTGTTGCAGTTATCTCTAGAATTTATTCATCTCATAAAATGGAAAGTTTGTACCCATTTTATAGTTTCCCATTTCCTCTTCCCAGCCCTTAGCAAACACCATTCTATGTAGCTTTTCTTTTTACCTGTAACTATTAAATCTGTAATGAAAAATGATGCTCCAGCGTGCTTTGCACTTCTGTGATTTGACACAAAGCCAAGCGGGACCTTAATGGCAACCTTTACTTTTAATACTTTTGGAATCTGTTCAAATTTTTCAGCAAGGTTTTAAACAGGGCACTCTGGTCCTCATTTATCTTTGGCCAAAAAATATAAAAAACTAAACTGTTTAATTTTCTGTTTAAGCAGAAGAAAAATTTGGTAGCGCTTTCACAATGAAATATATCCTGAGGTCAGTGATTCTGAGCTATCTTCCGTATTTCTCGGCTAAGGTCTTAAACCTATGCATAAAAAAAGACAGCTTGTAAAAATATGTGAGACCACAGTGAAAGCAGACTCTCTCTCAAGCTAACAGAGCCATGCTGTGGTGGTTAATGACGCTGGGAAAAGGCAACGCTGCAAAGAACGCACGTCACAGGATCCGCGAGCCATGTGATCGAGACTTCAGCGACCTGGGGGAGCAAGGATGCACTGCGGAAGCTCCCACAGTACTTGAAAGAGCCCACACAGCCTGCTTTTCCCCACATCCCCTAATGTTGACCTCCACAGTCCTTTCCTTGAGCATTCTTCCACATCACTGACTTCCATCATTTATTGCATTACTCTGGCCCACAGCATTTTACAAAATCTAAAATGTCATTCATGGGAATTATATAAAAGAGCTAAGACCAGAGTTCTCTATTAAAGCAATGAAAAAATGGAGAAGGGTTCCTTTCTCACCACAACCCTGACAGCATTTGTTATTGGTTATAGTGTGTGTACATCATCATAAATAAGAAACTTTCATTTGTTGAAGCACATATTACATAGATGCCTCCAACACCCTTGAAAACTTAATTATGAAATCCAAACGAAAAATCCAATAGTGCCTAATCAACCCGAAACTATTTTACTTTCAACTCACATCCAGGGTTTTATTAAGCATGGGATACTAAACTTTCCTACAATGTTTAACTTTTTATGTCCCCTCCCTCAAAGAGCGTATTATTAGCTATATGGAACTACATCAACCCTGCTGAGAAAATAACTTTAATGTGAACAACCTGGTAATAGTGTAAATGTGGGAAATTTTAGAAATTTGAATTTTTCATATTGATTTTGGACATTTCTACACAACAAAGTTTGGTGTTTATGTGCGTGAAAACTAACTTCAATGGAGTAGAGCACATGGGGCAATGCAGTGACCTTAAAGATTTGCTTCATGGAAACAAAACATACTCTATCATTATACTCTGTAATCAAAATGAAAACTGAAATGGTAAAGTCACTGGCTAGTTGGCAAAATTTATGTGCATCATAAAGAAGTTTCACTGTTAAGGACTTTACTGGACTCATCAATCAAGAGCAGTGATGTCAGAAGGGAGAATTGAGAAAAAAAGCAAAGTCTCTTTTCCCTCTTCAGAACCAAATCTTCACCTACATAAAGCTATACAAATAAAAAGGAAGTACATTCTAATTAGGACTCAGAGTAAGAGGGTCTGAACGGAGCCTATCTTACTTTATACACTCCAAGACCTTGGAAGAAGGACTTGATCTCCTAATCTCAGATTTCTCCTTTGTAAAGTGGAGATAATCAAAGGAACATTGAAAGTGAAAATGAAAGCAATGCCCTCAGCACAGTTCTACGCAAAAAACTCAACAAATGACAGTTAGTTTTCAGTATTGTCACACATTTGTCCCAAACATTCTTTTTTTATCTTACTGAGTTTATTGGTACTTTTCAGTTACACAGTACAGTTACCTTCATCATTGGGATCTTGTACCTTTACAGGACAGATCCTGGTTCTCATTTTTCCCCATATCCCTGTGCTTCCTTCACCCCCCAACCCTCCCGTATTTACAAAGACTTCGTTTCCATGTTTTCATTTTCTCATATTTTTTCTTGTCCCGTATCTCCTTTCCTCTACCCTTTCCCACTTTCCCTACACCTTTAACCCTTTTCTTCCTATTTCACATTGTCAGTTATACAATTTGGATCTTATTTACACTTCTAGTTTTTCACAGCAAAGAAACTATTTGGTATTTACACAGTTGTCTTATTTATTTCACTTAGGAGTATGTGATATATACACACCTATGTTTATAGCAGCACAGTTTGTAATAGCTAAAACTTGGAAACAGCCTGACTGCCCATCAGCTGGAGAATGGATAAAGAAGATGTGGTTTTTCTATAAAATGAAATACTACTCAGCCATAAAAAATGAGAAACTAGAGTCATTCATAGGAAAATGGATGGATATTGAGGCCATACTGTCCCAAACATTCTTTATTACCCTTTCTGCATTCCTCACTATCATGCCAAGGGCACAAGGCCCTCCCCCTTCCTATCCCACCCAAATGTACTCTAATTTCCAAAGCATTTTATGCATCACAATTGCTGCTGCCTTCCCTCTGCTAGGAAGCACACAACAAGAAGGGGGAGTTTATTTCTACAAGTTACTGTAAGCAGAGAAATCTGACTAAACTACTAAAAGTAACATCCTTAATTCTCTTGGCAATATCACCATTATCACAAAAAACAAAGCTGGAAAGCACTGTAAGAAACTAAAAAGCAGTTTTCAAGGGAAGTTATTTTTGACTGGGCAAATATCACATAATCAGGCAACTACTGGCTGAGTTTACACCTCTGGCACCATAACTGGTGAGATGCTCAACATTCTCTATAGTCCAGTGTTTGTCTTTCCTCAAACTCTAATTTAAGAGTCACTGAAACGGCTTTCGCTGAAATAAAAATCAAACTAATTTTGTTATAGGTGTAGCAGCCCAAAGTACTTCACCAGAGAGAAAAAGCAAAGGAACAATGGTAAAAGTAATAAAAGGAAAAAAAAAGTAAGAAACAGAGGGAAGGAAAGAAAACAAAGATGGCAAGAAGAACTGCAGCAGAGGCGTGTAATTCCCAAGCATAAAGGCCACACTCTGCTCCATTTTCCGAAGGACAGCCTGAAGCTCATCTAACCCTCAGAGAAGACAACACAGAAGTGCTCTTGGTGGATACTGTGTAGGGCTGTGATGTTTGTGCTTCATTTAAGAAGACCTGTAATATCGCCACAAGATTAGGGACCAGAAAAATTTCACTCACAAAGAAAAGTGAGTTTATGTAAAAGTCAGTCATAGGGATGGAGATTTAGCTCAGTGGTTCCACCACCTGCTTCGGAAGAGCAAGGTCCTAAATTCGATCCCTGGTAATGAGAAAAAAAAAGTTAATCCGAACCTGCAACTATTATAAAATGATGAAATTCTTTCCCTTTTTTGCCAATACAGCAAACTATAAAATCATCAACTGACATTTGATTCATATTTGAGGCATATTTCTAGACTCACAAATACTTTTCATTTTAATATTTGAAGAAAATTTTCACATTATCATTTGTTAGGTTCTCCTTCAATGTTACTGAGGTTAGTGCTCAAACAATTTTTCTTCTTTTTAATTTAATTATGCAATTTAAGGGAGGGAATAAGTATGTTCTTGACATATCTGTTCTATAAAACATTGAAAAAAACTTAGAAGGTACAGTTAGGAAAAAAATCTAGATTTAAGTGATTCAAGTTTCAAGTATAAATCAGCTGAATACATTACTGACTTCAAATCATGGATTAAACAAAAGAAATTATATCTGCATTGATGTGTGAATCTGCATCCATTCTTGGTAGCGTGTAATGTATGCAACTGCTGGGCTTCCTCAGTCCTGCTAGCTACATTTCCATATTATTCAAATGTATCTATCATTTATATGTAAATAGACAAGATGAATGGCTTCTCCCTAAGACAACAATTTTCAAATGACAAACAGACACAGGCAGACTTTAGGAAGATAAAAAACGCTGCAAATATTCATTCTTTTGTATTCTTTTAAGAGAAAAATGAAAACTATTCAAATTTCTTAAAAAGTGTGGTGGTAATTACGAAATGGGGTCTTAATACATTCATAATACAAATAGCTTTTCTTCCCCCAAAAAGTCTGTACCTATGTCATTTGTGTCGTATAAATTACACGCTCTCAGACCCATCTGTGAAAACTGGGATGCTAATTATGATTCCACAGTTAAAGGCTGAAGTGGTGCCGTACAAATACCATATGTTTTTCTAAGGGAAATGAAGAAAGATTAATTATGAGTTGAAGTCCAAGTCTTCTAGCAGCAATACTCTCAACACAATAAGATCATTACATTGTGTGCTATGTAAATTAGAAGTGTTAATTAATAGCTGAATACCAGCCTAGAGGGAAAACTGAACCGCAAATTGTAAGTAGAAGGCTTTCCTCAAAGAAAGAAAAAAAATCTTCGTAAGGATGATTTTGTAAAGTCAAGTTATAAGTCCAAAGGAAAATATTTTGTTAGTCTTTGAACTTCCTTTGGAGTGATAATCATCATGCTGTTTAATCCCGTCTGATAAGTCTAAAAATTACAGTCGATGCTAGTCACAAATTAGCTAGAAATAGATTGTATGTTTGAGGAAAAGTCAACAACGTTTTTCTGCATGTGTTTTTAAGATACATATTCAAAAACCTCTTACAGGGCCACTATTTTATGGAAAATTATGCTTCATGTACTGTAGTCAGACACAGTATTCACTTGGGTACAACAATCTATAAACAAAACTCCATAACAGAACCGCAAGAATTTTACTCACATTTTAAAAGTGTGAATTCTTACTTTACTTACCACGTATTCAAAGACAAGGGTCAGTGTTTCCTTGGTATGGATGATGTCGTGAAGCAGCACAATGTTAGCATGTTTCAGTCCTTTTAACAGAGAAGCTGTAAAATAAAGTAGACAAAGGGACAATTTATCATGGGTAACAATCAACTAACACGCTTCACTGTCATTGTGGCATATAAGGTCAGGCGAAAGGTACCTATTTTCCATGTCCCAAGGCAGGAACAATAACAATTAAGAATCATGGTCAGAGGAAAGAGGTTTTCATGAGGCTATAACTCTCGCAATCATTGCATTTGTTCTTTGTTACTCTCTCCATTTTGGTTTTATATATTCAAAGAACACACTTACTGTGATTTCTACTCTTCAAAAATGTTAAGGTTTATTATATTGACAATTATTTACTAATGATATGATGTGTCATTTTATAAATTCCATGTGTATAAGATAGACATTCTGCTTAGGTTGGGTGGAGAGGTCTATAAATAAATATCAAATAGATCCTGTTGCCTGATGATGTCATTGAGTTCTCCTAAATCCTTGTTGATTTTCTGAATAGTGATTACTAAAAAAAGTGGTGTTGATGTCTCCAACTGTAATTTATCTTTTGAGTTCTCTAGTTTCCTACTTCTATTTTGAAGCTCTATTGCATACAGAATACATATTTAAGACTGTTATTTCTTTTCCTTTCTTTCTTTCATTTTTTTGGTACTGGGGATAGAACTCGGGTCCTTTGTGCTTGCAAGGCAGGTGGCGGAGCCACTGAGCTAAATTCCCAGCCCCCTGTTATTTCTTTTTTGAGAATGGACCCTTTGACCCTTTTATGAAAATATGTTACTCTCCCTAAAAGTTGTTTTTGGTCTGAGTTCTGTTACATATTAGTATAGCCAGCTGAACTTTCATTTGATTATGAGATTACATGGTATATGTTTTATGATGTTTTTTTTCTTTTATACCACTAATATCACTGTGCGGGAAATGAGTATTTGACAAACTGCTTACAGTCGGGTCATGCATTTTTAAAATTCATGTTGCCAATCTCTGGCTTTTAATTGATATCCTTAGTCCATTTACATTTAATGTAAATACAATATGCAGGGTCACCCCTCATTTGCATCTGATTTTCCCTTGAGTACCTTGCAATTTAGTTTCCATTTTTTTATTTTGTGTTCTGTATTTATCAGAAATTTAATTAACTCATTTGATTTTATTTTTTACTATTTTTCTACTTATTTTTGTATTTTTAATTCAACAATGACATATTCCAAAGGCTGAATGAGAAGTTTAAGTTCATAATATAGCATTGTATGTAGTTTTATTTTCATAGTTGGTTTTCAGTGTTTTTGTCAGCTGGGACACATATATTCTTATTTTCTCATTTTTTTTACAGCAATTTTGTACAGATCTGGGCCACCCTGTTCTATTTCGACTCATTTAATGGGCTGTGCTCCTAGTTTGGGAGGCCTCTCTTAGGCCAGTTTTGCCTGTTTTTATGTAGTTTTTGTAGATGATAGTGGTATAAGAAATTGGGGGGTAAGAATTGAAGTGACATGTTTATTTCACTTTTCCATGAGATCCTTCATTTCTCCCTTTTCCTTCTTTCTTTACTCTCATTATCGCTATCTTCCAGGGTGGCTACAATTTTTCTCTATATATCTTAAGCTCACCTAGAAGCAACACTTCCCAAGGGCCAGCATTTCCTCCTACTATGCCTCTCCTCTCCTATAGCCAGTGCTCCGAGACGTGGAATCCCAACTTTCTCCTTCTGTAGCAGTTCCAGCAAGCCTGTGCTTCCATCCAGCCCTGCATTTGTATTCTTTTCCAGTTTCTCAAGCTTCCCTAGGCAGTGGTCTCTACAAGAGACTCATGTTCCTTTCTCATGGTCTTGAAGGGATGGGCCATGTGCATTTTTATTTGCTCTCTCGCTGGATTGTGAATTTGGGAGAATGGGAGTCAAGATCTGGAAACCACCATTCAGTGCCTTCCTCCATAGCAATGAGGGCTTTTGCTTAACACTGGCATATCCCTACTGCTAGATCAAGGACTGATACAGAGCAGGAAATGAAATTTACTGACTGTCATTGGGCTCCTTGGAAATGCAGAGCTATTCCTTGAATAAGAGAAACCGGCAGCCAAACAACAGCTCTTTCCCCAGTTAGAGCTGCCTTCCCTCTGCTCTAGAAACACCTCCAACTCCAAACCTCATGCTGGTGATGTTCAGTTTCAGCACTAGGTCACTGCATATCTACTCCTCAAATCCCAGAGATGACCAGTGCTAATGTTAGCAAGTTCAAGACCTGGACAAGAAAAAACTGGTTCTGCCTTAAATCCTGTTCCTTCTATCATATAATCTTCTTTCTCTATGATTCAAAAAGGGTGAGAGAACTCCAACCATTATAGTCAGACTCTTTATGATGCTACTCATTCACAAAGATAGAAGAAAATACAAGAAACAACAAGTGTAAAAACAGAGATGTGTAATTTCAGTTTTTATGAATAATACTACAAAAACATGTTTGGTATTTTTTAACTTCTTCTGGATTATCTCCTGTTAATAAATTGTTAAAAATGGAACTACAGAGTCAAAAGACACAAATATATTTAAAGATTCTACTTATAAATTTTGGTGGTACATTTCAGCTTACATCTTTCTAATCCCATGTAAAAATAACCATAAAACAGGAGAAAATATGTAAAAATTACACCTTACAAAGTACATATTAATTTAAAGATAAACCTTCATCGCTGATAAAAACAAACATAATCAAAATAGTTCCCTGTTATAGCAATGACCATTCTATTAAAGCATTCAAAGAATAAAAATTTCCTCTATGATTACTTTAGAAACACAATGTCTTCCATTTTGGCTTTAATGTAAGGGTCTACACAATTTAAAGGGGGAAAAAAGCAAAATATTTTAAACTATTATATAAAGAACTTGCAACGTTTCATTCGGTCATTCATCAAATATTTATTTAGAATCTAGTTGTAGGCACTGGTAGCCTCGAGAAGACTTTGAGCCCTTGAGAAATGCTGAATACTACCACATCTTTAAAAGAGATCCACAACACTAAGAGCAGACCCTATGCAAAACTATGGCCTTGGGAGTGACAACAGTATGTCAATACAGGCTCAATGATGACAACAAAGACGGGATTCTGGAGGAAGATGCTGATAGGTGGAAAGTAGGAGCAGTTATATGCACGGCTGCAGGGGGTAGTGGAACTCTTTGTACTTTAGGCTCAATTTTGTTGTGAATCTAAAATTGTTCTAAAACATTAAGTCTATCAAAATACATAAATCATAAAGATTCACTTGTGTTTTAACATATTAAAAGAAAAAGCAAACCTAAATTATTTAATATGTCACTCAAATACAGCAGTAGTTTAGCTACGTAATCACCATATGAGATAGTCCTTAGAGAAGGCAAAGACAGTGCAAGGAGACTATTCTGGTGTGAACTCAATGACCAGGAGTTCCTCTTATCAGTGCTGTGAATTTTCTTGTCTTCCCCAGACAAAGCTGTTTAAGGACAATACACTATACCCTTTATGTTAAAATAAACTTTTATAAATCCATAATTGGTCAAATGAAGGCTATTCAGACTGACAACTGCTTGGAGTGGCCAGTTCCAACACTACAGGACAAGAGGTATGAAACTGAATCTGTCATATGTATGTTCCAAAACCAGAGAAGTACAAGCTAGTTAGTGTGCAGAGGAATGCTCTTTCACCACACAAATATCTGTCACATTAATGTAATGCTGCATACTTAAAAGGTTATACTACTACAATTATTTAAAAACTTATTAAATCTGATCTTTATAAATTAGCATATGAGAAAATAATTACAAACATTATAATAGTGCATGAACTCTGAAGAAACAAGTATTACTATAGTTTAGTCCTGTAATTCTAATAATTTATAGTTTCAATTATTCAACTAGGCTTAAACAATTAAGATCTCACTAAGTAGCTAGCATTCAGAAATTATCCTGGGGAATAACTTCACATTTGCTTGTTTTTAAAAGGATATGCATTTCTGTACTCCTCTTCTGGGCAGACTTTTCTCACAGATCATTATTTTAAAATTCAACACAGTGTCAGAAGATGATGACTATGTATGTTACTTAATACCTCGCCAGTGCAAGGACATTTGCAGATAAACCCAAGGACCCCCCTGAACACCACCTTGCAAAAATAGAAGATGGTTTTCTGAAGCAAATTTGGTAAACATATTATGTAGCATGTGTAACTGTGCCCGATTTCATTTTTCAAGTTAGCCCCTTATGTTGTCAAGTTCAATGATGATCATCCTTACGGGTAACAACTCCAACATAGCACAGAGGCTTGCACTTCACTGAGAATCCTATGCTCTCAGTAATTTCTTCCTTGTTTTACTCCATTACTGCCTCTCTTCTCTCACCACTTACACCTAAATATTCTCATCCCTCAAAGTAATGTCTTCACAAACAACATACTCCACAACATTTTCCGTCAATTTCAGCAACATCAAATTTCAGCTATCATTAATCTTGGGAAAAAATTTTTTTCCTGACTGTCTAATGTAGAAAAGAGTCACATTTTTATTTTTTACCACTTCTACGTGAAGTCTAAAAGCTTCCACATCTCTTTCTTATAAGCCTCAACGTTTCAGAATGCATTTATATATACTTATACGGGCAGTTAAATAAGTACCAGTATCTGAATTTAAAATTACATCCCCTTCCTTTTGAGATTAACATAATTAATTCATGGCTGGAAAAGGACAGAGCCACTAATTCCAAAGCTGATGGCATAAAAATGGCAGTCACGAGTGGAAAAGAGCCTACAGTCTACCAACATCAGAGTAGGTGACAGACGTGACCAACTGGCTGCAAGGTGCCAGATACTGTGGTTCTGGCTGCCATTAAGGTATGGGAGCCTGCACATGCCAAGTCAGCTCAGTGTTGAGCACTTACAGTTTCTGAAGCCAGTAGGCCCCTCGTTGTGACAGACATCGTCAAAATAATACTCCCTGCAATCGCAATGTTATCATAAATATGCATGTTATTTGTTCATCATTTACCCACAAATCAAATCCTGCAACATTTGTGTGGGTG